AGTTTCTCCAAACCATTTCAACAAAACAGACTCTATCCCATCGTCTTCTAACTCATTTTCCTTTATCCCGCGTGTGTATGAAGTGATATGTTCATTAGGATCGGTTCCTGTTGTATTTAGGAATGGGATTCGGAGCCGCAATCTAAAAAAAAGGCTTCTGCATGAACTTTTTTGAATCCAAACCATTTAGGACAGGGGTGCCCCCGGTATCTGATCAACTCGGGAGTTGTATGTTTCCACTTTTTTGTCATTATATTCAATCTTCTTTTCTCCCGACTCAATTTTTTTGGTGAGCTCCTCGAGCATTTTCATAATTGTAGGATCAGTCCCTGATCCATTACCATTCGACCTTTCTGGCACTGGCTCGGTACAGCGAGTAATTTACGGCTCGACCACACTTGGAGTTCTATGTTGACTCTGAAGCTAAGCAGTAGTGGTCTGTTGAGCCTGTACCATCTCAAATATTACCTGGAGACTAATTCCCCGTCTCCTACGCCCTGTGTTCATTGGCCACCAGATCGGCCTTCCCTGCGCACACTCCCTTCCGAGTCTGTACCCAAATCCGCATTCAAAGCAATGTGCAAACTGATATTGACTGGATCGACGACCGGTACTCCTTCGAGATTAGCCGGTGGCACCCCGTCTCCTAGAACAATTACGTTATCATTTTTCCCATGAAATCCAAGACCATCATCACCATGCACGGGTGCGTTTTGTGAGATGAGGGAGTATACCGAGGTGGAGATCCGGTCGAGGTGCCGTTCCGTCGAGGTTCCGGTCTGCGGTCCCTGTTATTACATCAAAAATCAAAAGATGAAAAAGACTAGCTAAGCCTATCGACTACGAGTTACAAGATTCCTATCTATAAGTCTTCTGAAGCTTGATCTTGAGTCTTGAATGGTTCTTCACGCAGACTTTAGATTTGAACCTTGACACTTGTTAGCTGCAGGTGCTAGCTCGTTCTTCTATAACTTTTGGGTCAGGACCGGACATGTAGTGCTTGTGACCTCGGCCATGTCTTGAGCAGCTCACATCCTTCATCAACTTCTGAATTGCATTCTGAATTGAATTCCCTTTTTTTCCAGGTGGGCGCCTGATTGCTGAACTTGAACCGTCTTTTCTTGTTACTTGACACTGTTTTCCCTTGCACTTTGAACCATTTTCCCTGAAACTCGAACTATCTTCCTTCGAAACTTCTTTCCCTAGAAACTTGAGTTGTTTTCCCTTATTCTCCAGGTGGGCGCCTGATTACAACAAAATAGACAAAACAAAGAAATTTTTCTGTCCCAGTTTGCACTAGGAAGATTTGTGAGTTGTTAGCAAAATTGTAAACCACCTGTATTATTAATGCAATGATGAAATTAAACTAAAGAATAGACTAGGAAAACTGTAAACTAAGCTTGACTAAAGTAAAAACTGACCCTATTCTCCAGGCGGGGCTCCCTGACTACTAACTTGAAATGTATTCCCTGCTTTCCAGACGGGCCCCTGACTTCAACTTGAAAGTGCTCCCTGCTCTCCAGGCAGGCTCCTGACTTCATGATAGACAAAAAAAAGAATTTGAAAGCTAAAATTCAAATTGTACTCCCTTATTCTCCAGGCGGGCTCCTGACTGCTAACTTGAAAGTATTCCCTGCTCTCCAGGCGGACTCCTGACTTCACCAAAGACAAAACAAAGAATTTGAAATCTAAAACTTAAATTGCACTCCCTTGTTCTTCAGGCGGGCTCCTGATTGCTAACTTGAAATGTATTCCAAAAATATCCATGTGGGTGCCTGATTGCCAAAACTTGAAATGTATTCCCTTGTTATCCAGGTGGGCGCCTGATTGCCAAAACTTGAAATGTATTCCCTTGTTATCCAGGTGGGCGCCT